TTTGGCTCTGTAATGTACTCAAGCTCTTTTTTTCAGACACCTCTGGCATGCCTAAGACAAAAAGTCCAACCTAAATTTTGGTACCTAGCATGTTTATGTGTGTGTTAAAATGTTGAGAATGAACATTTTGATTTTAAAAGTTTGACCAATTCAGCATGTTTTGAGGAATCAAAATCATTGAATGCCTTGTAAAAGGATGAGGTAGAGCCAGAATGTCTGCAGTAAAATACAGCTACAGTGTTGAAATCCTTTATGAAATGCTTGCATTAAAATAAAATGCACTCAGTAGAAGTTGCTTCTGTCACATGTAAGTCAGATAAATGTTCCCACACTCTTTTGTAACCACAGCAATAGCTTGCAGTTCTGAAACTGCACCTCTGAGCAGTCACAAACACTTCACAAACCAACAAAGCTTCTACACAGTCACTTCACCCAGCACAGAGATGGGGTTGGGCACTTCTTTAAGTACTTTACATTTATAGGGAGCATTGCTGCAGTATCTCTCAATCATCAGCATATTTATCCATACAGTTTTCCCATAGGGAAGCACTGTTAGACTGGTCTCACAGTCAGGGAAAATCCCTTTTATGTAACCTAAGGCTAAACCCCATACAGGTTTCAACACTGTACAGATTCCTCTTGTGGGGAACTTCCAGCATTTACGTATCACTGGATACTCAGAACTATCTCTGCTATTTCCTTGTCTTGTAGATGCCTAAAATAATAATTGCAAAATTTTTGTTGTAACCATGCCATGACATCATGTGTCTACCAATAGGCACAAACACCATCACACATCTCTTACTGTGGCCAAGAAGTTGAAAGACACAGAGCACCCTTGCATCGTGTGGATTCCTTTGCTTATTGTCACACATGAACAGTCCCTGAGTGCATCTGTCAGACTAGGAAGCACATGACGTGATTGCTGCACCTCTGACACATTCATTCAGGCACTCACTGCAGGCAATCCCATTACTTGTCCTATTTTTCTTATTCATTTTCTATAGGATATATGAAAAGTTTTATAGTAAGTGGTGATTCACACATATCAAGGCCAATATTCAAGAGAGAAGTCATGGGCGTTTTGGCACTGCATCATTCCATACCACAGCTGAGTACAGGTCCCCTTCCTTGCTTTAGTAGTAAAGACCCATCACCACACTGATCTTTCAGAATTCAGGAGACACACTGTATATTTTCATTATCTAATAAGCTCCAGCAGTGCTTTGGGCTTGGCAGTTTCTCAAGATTAGTCTGGTTGCAACGAGGATGGCAACACACAAAACAAATCCCAGCCAAACTGAGCTCCATTTGTATATAGCTGCATAGAGGTATTGAATCACCTTACATGGACATAAGTCCTAGTGCTTGAAGAAATACACCTATCAGTCAAACAACAAAACAACACAAATTTCCTATAGAGCACAGTGCCAGAGTTTTAACTTTTGAACATATGTAACATGTTAAGCACATCATCTTCTTTCTACACTCTTAATAATTTAGATGAGATCATGACTGCTGCCTTAATAAAGATTTCTTGTGTCTATGTAATTTTGTCCATAGATACAGCAGTTTTCCTAGTCAGTGATTGCAAATTTTTGGCTCTCTTCTTATGTAATCTATGAAGACCTGGTTGAAGAGAACCATTTTTATGTACTTTCTATACATTAATTTAGATCTGGAAGAGATCTACATGGTCTCTGTAGCAGGGTTACCAGCCACTGCTAAGATGCCTGGTGATTTTTATGTTTTTCAAGAACTTTAAGTCTTTCTTAACATATAGGTATGCAGTTCAGTTCTTGATGGACATGTGATAGTTAAAAGGAGACTTCTGAGGTACAGGCTACCTATAGGCTCCAGAAGATAATTGCTTTTTACTGTGGTAGGCAGGAGAAGTATGCAAATCTAGGAGAGCTGATAAATGTGTTTGTATGTATTTCTGCAACTTTTCTGGGCTTCTCAAGTTCTCTGGCTTAAGAGCTCCTTCTGGAATTTAGATGGGAAAAATGAACTAAATTATCAAGAGAGTTCCCCTGGCAAGGACAAACTTTTATACTGAATGGTCATCAGTCACAATGTCTGAAGGTGTGCTGGTTTGTCCTTTCACTTCCTGAGGACTTTTGTTCAGTTCTGACATAAGAGGCAAATATCTTCCAAGCTTAAAAGGGAGCCTGCAGTCTGATCTCTATGTATGTACAGGGGGGATACACAGGTTTTGTTTCCTTTGCCTAACTTTGGGAGTTAACACAGGATATTTACAATTCCCAGTTATCTTGTTTGGCTAACAAGAGAGTTAAACAGTGTAGATGTGGGCAAATCATGTCTACTTTAGTCTTGTGGCCAGAGGGTAAATCTGAGCCCATAGAGTGAATCCTCAGCATAAATTTAATTCATTAGTTCCTGACCTTCTGTAGATATTCACTATAATGTGCAACAGTTGTGTACATATACTAATTCCAAGTTTGACTGAGAATGTTTGATAAATTTCAATTTTGAATTGGGGAGCTTTGTTTTGACAAAACCTGAGAATGTCTGTGTTGTAATTGAGTGACATAGTTTTTTACATTGGGAAATAAGGCTATGTGCAACAAAGCTCATGAATGCCCTTCCCTTTGCATTTCAGAATCCTAAATACACTCCAGCATCTCCTGAGCTCTGCATTGTGACAGTAGAGCGTTCCCAGAACTTTTAGGATGACCTGACTACGGAATCTTGATTTACAGGATTTATCTTGAAAGTGGTAACCAATTTCTTCTAATCTGATTGACTCTAAAGATTAAATAACATCTTGGATAATGAGAGTAAAATGGCTTAGCTGTTCTGTATAATTATATTAATTCCAAAGCTATACAAAACAAATAAACATAAGCCCCAGTATTCAAGCCTCGTTAGGTTTATGTTGCAACAGCTACATTAAACAAAATTACAGATTCAGTCAGATCTTATCCTGCTGGTGTCGAAGCAGCTGCTCTGGACAGGCTCACACAGTTATTCATGCTGCAGAGTATTTCTGGGAAAAACTGGTCCAAATTTCTTTAGCAAACAGATCCACCCCTGCCCTGCAAACATTAGCTCATGTAGTATCAAGATGTTCAACCCTGGCTTGAGCTGGGGTATGTCCACTTCAGATTTATGACAGGAACAAAAAGAAAGCAATTCTCTGGGAAAGTTAAGCAAACACCTTGCTGCTACTTCCTCCTGTAATGCTCTCATGCTACCTTGTAAGTATGAATGGCAGCGACCAAAGTTCATGCAAAGTGCAGTTCCTGCAAGGCTGGGAACTACTGAACTATGGGCATTCATATGTGGATCTTATCTCTTTCCCAAGAAAGAAGATTTAGTAGGAAGAGAGGAACTAGAAACACTATAGATTTAGGTCATTTATCCCATATGACCATTCAGTATCCAATCAGGAGTTTATCAGTCAGACTTCTATTTATGTATTTTTTTGCAAGTACTGTTGGAATAGGAACTATAGAGCATCTCTGTGAAACAGCCTAGGTATTTAAGGCATTTGCAGAAATTCTTTTCAAAAGAAGAATTAAAAGGAAAATTCTTTCTGGTTTTCTAAAGTAGATGCCAAAGGCTTTTGGGGTCCTACTAGAATCTGAGCTGCATGCTAGAGAGGGAATGGGGGGAAAAGTCTGTTGGATTTCTTGGTCTGAGAATTGGTGAAGTTTTATTGATGGACTCTGTGATTTGCATCAAGCCTCAGATCCCAAGAGTGATTTCTGTGAAGACTGCTGTGGAGGAGGAAGAGCTGTAGGCATGCATGTGCCTAGCAGCATGATGAGCTGGCTTTAGAGGCTGTCAGTGGTGAGACAGAACAAGGCACGTGCTGTGACCTGCTGGCTCAAGTCTCATCCCACGTTGGCTTCATTTTAGAGGCCTCCAATTGCTTTTCTCCAGGACCAGAATTTCTACTGGGTGCTGTTGGAGAGATTTTACTCACACAGCTTCTCTGGAGGGTACACAGGCAGTGCTCCCCGAGGTCTGGCTCCTTTTGCCCTCCATCATCTGCAATCTACGTCTCACTCCCTCAAAGGTGTGCTCCCTAGAATGGTAGACTGGTAGACTACAGGTCAACCCTCATTTTTCAGGCATTTTGGAGCTTTCAAGTCAAGCTTCTGCTCTTGTGAGGCCCCACCTGGAGTACTGTGTCCAGGTCTGGAGCCCCCAGTACAAGAAAGACAGAGAGCTGTTGGAGAGGGTCCAGAGGAAGGCCACGAAGACGATCAGGGGACTGGAGCACCTCTCCTACAAAGACAGGCTGAAGGAACTGGGCTTGTTCAGCCTGGAGAAAAGAAGGCTACGGGGTGACCTCAGTGCAGCCTTTCAATACCTAAAGGGAGCCTACAAACAGGAGGGGAATCAACTCTTTGAAAGGGTTGATAGCAGCAGGACAAGGGGAAATGGTTTTAAGTTGAGGGAGGGAAGATTGAGGTTGGATGTCAGGGGGAAATTCTTTACAGAGAGAGTGGTGAGGTGCTGGAACAGGCTGCCCAGAGAGGTTGTGGATGCCCCATCCCTGGCGGTGTTCAAGGCCAGATTGGATGGGGCCCTGAGCAGCCTGGTCAAGTATTAAATGTGGAGGTTGGTGGCCCTGCCTGTGGCAGGGGGGTTGGAACTTCATGATCCTTGAGGTCCCTTCCAACCCTGGCCATTCTGTGGTCTGAGATTTTTCACTGGAGGGAAAAAAAGGCCTCTACTTAATATCCTTTTTGTTTCAATAGAAAATCTGTTATTTTAATACTGACTGTACTTAAGAAGGAGACTTGTAATGTAGGCTGAGTAGGACTCATTACTTGTTATTAAAAGTTAAAGACTAACTGCAAATAGTAATTACAAAATGACTTTAACTTTCTTCTGCAAAAATAGCTTCTGTAATGACATTTTCTAACCCCCTCAAAAAACTAGCCACTCCCTAAAAAAATCACGTTAAAAATATTTTAATGATTTAATTGTATTTTTTCTTCCACATAGCAAGAAAATAGTTTAATTATTCTGGTCACTTATTTAGGATCTGTGTCCATCTTTGGAAAGTGAAGAAAATAAAAGTCAGTGCACAACTCAACTGATGCAGTATGTTACAGAAAACAAGGTTAGCTAAAATCCTTTGGTTTAAGACCACAACTAAGTAATAAAATAGCAGACATTTTTCACAGCCCATCATCAGGTCCAACCTTTTCATTATTTGCATCTCAGATTATTCGGGGAATTCTAATCCCAAAGCTATGAAATAAGTTTCCTGGTCAAGGGGTAATGTGATTCTGTGATTTTGAAATACGGAGTTTTGTGCACCTCGTGTGGGGTTCTTCCAGTGACCCCAACTTACAGAGCAAATTTGATCCTTCTCATTTTGTAGCAGTGAGCATCCCACGAACCGAAGCACCTTCCCAAGGGGAAAGGATGGTTTATAAATGGGTGCCAGCTGTGCTGGGTCCATGGCACCCACGCAAAATGTGGATAATCCCTTGCATCTCCTGCTGTACCTCCTGACATAGGGTGCAGTGCTCAGATCAGCACAATTTCTTCTCTTGAGCTAAATCCCTCTGAGGATGGAAGACCAACTGTTTGCACTTGTTTTCCTGGAGAAGATCAGCTCTCAAGGAGGGGAAAGTGACCACTGTTTGGATGTGTGTCAGCAAGGCACCAGGACTATGTAGCCATAGAGTAAGGGAGCAGGGAAGAATCCTGCAAATTCAGCCCCTGTCTGAATCTGTGTGCTTCCTTGTGGTGCTTGGAATTGCCCTCTGCTCTTCTTGCAGCAGAGCCAACATTTGCTGAACCATATGTGAGTCACTTGACACTTGCACAGACTTGTTGAGAACACTAAAGTCATCTTCAAGACCAAAATGTTCCGTGTTTTCTTCTTTTCCTTCCTTTTTGTGACTTCTGCTTCAGCCAAGTTAAAATATAAGAGCATGACAGGGGTGAAAGGTGATGGTGAAAAATTGCAGTGTGTTCTTCTTATAGCCTTTGAACCAAAAATGAGGCCTTTGGGAAGTATCATTTCATACTTTTATGTTATGAACAGCTCCAGTCCCCACTGTCTTCAGTTGGAGATACGGACACGCAGCATCACGCAAATCTGTTTGCTCAGAGATACAGTCAGTCAGTCAAGAAGTAAAGATAACTTGCATTCTGTTAGCTAGCCAAAAATATCAATGCTCCTTGATAATCAATTGAAAATTGCCTCTTAGAGAAGGGCAGAGCACAAAGGCTGTGAATCACATCAATCCCACCTTATCTTCCAGAACTGCAGTGAAGAATGCATTTTCTCCAATATGAATGAGAATATTCCTTCCCCTTCTCTTGAAACCCAGACTATCCCTCTACACAAAATATTTCTGCTCTGCTTGGTGCTGACTGTGTAACAAACTTCCACAATGCGCACATTTGGGAACATGGTCCAAGACCATAGTTTACACAATGCACACTTCTTTGCAGATCAACATTAGAAATGATGCCAGTGCTCATGGAAATGGGGGCTGCATTCAACAGCACAACAGCAGCAAGCTTAAGCATTCTTTGCCAGCAATACTGTTCGTCCCTGAGTCTGCTCTGTGTGGCTGGAGACAGTGGTAAGGACTTTTAGATCACTGGCAGTCTCTAGGTGACAGCTTTGCACCAGGGAAGGTTGAAGTGCTTTTACCACCATTCGTGATGTTACCTCTGTCAGAGAATACAACCCTGTCCATCTTTCCCATTTCCTTCCCCCCCCCCCGGCTGTTGCCAAGCCAGCAGCAGCCTGCAGGCCAGCAGCCTCCCCCATCACACGCATGCTAATTGGGGCCTGATGAGAAGCATTTGCTTTCCCCTCCATGTCTCCTGCAGCGTGTGGCTGCCCAGCTGGGTCTCTGGCTCAATCCCCAGCTCCGTGTCTCTCGGCTCTTTCCCAGAACAGAGCAGATGTTCATTCTGCTCCCTATGGAGACAGCCGGCTGCTCCCACTGCCATGTCATGGACCCACTCGTGCTTGGTGCCAGCCAGCTGGGATGTTTGGAGTCCTTGACCTGGATTCTTCTCAACAGGGAAACACTCATCCTGCAGTGAACATGAGTGTTTTATCCCTTAAAGAGAAAACAGGAACCCTCCAAGAACAGATAATAATCATATTGAGAAATACACACAGAACAGTGCAAAGACTCATTTTCAAGTAGTAATGTGGAGTCTGAAAACAGCCATATCCTCTCACTATGGGCAAGAAAGGTCCTCACATGCACACACAACTCAGTTATAGTGCTAATTCTTTTCTGTGTCTAGAACAGTTTTAATGGAGTTCAGGTGGGATTTTCTTTTTCAGTCAGATCTTCGGATCATCTCCTTTTATTGTACATTGATTTGAATTTTAGAAGAATCTCAGATTTTCTAACTGGATCTTTTTTGATAAAATTAGTCTTGAGTACAGTATGTCCCAGCTACTAATGGGCAATTTATGGGATGCAGTCCAGCATGGATGGCAGGCCCTTAAATCATAGAATCATAGAATATCCTGAGCTGGATATATCCTGTGAAACCCACAAGGAACATTGAGTCCAGCTCCTGGCTTCACACAGGGCGACTCAAATTCAAACCCTATGTCAGAGAGTGTTGTCCAAACACTTCCTGAACTCCGGAAGCTTGGGGCCATGACCACTGCCCTGGTGAGCCTGTGCCAGTGTATAAAACCTTGCAGTACCTTTTACTAGTTCCCAACCTGGCCCTTCCCTGTGATTCCACTGCCATTCCATCTGGCCCCATTACTGTCACAGGGAGCAGAGCTCAGCGCTGTCCCTCTGCTCCCCGTGAGGAG